TCTTTTCTGTAATTTCTTTGATCAAATTCACCATCCATGTTACTTGGCATGCATATAGAGAGGCAATTATGTATTCAGCCTCACATGATAATAATGCTAAAACAAGTTTCTTTTTTAAACTCCAAGCAATTGGTGCACCACCTAACATGAACACATATCTAGATGTGAATTTTTTATCGTCAGCATCCCCACACAAACTAGAGCCAGCGTATCCCAAAAGTTTGAATTCTTTTGCTTCGTTTACTACATGAAACAAAATTCCATAATCTAGTGTTCCTCTAAGGTACTTTAGTATCCTCTTAGTGGCTACAAGAGAAGATGTCTTTGGCTTCTGCATGAATCTACTTACCATGTATGACAAATCAAGCTTTGTGTGACAAAGATATCTAAATGATCTAATAAGTCTTATGTACAATGTTGGATCGATGTCTTCTTCTCTCAAATATTTCTTCAGTTGCAATCTTGGTTCAACTAGTGTCGAAGTTGCATTGCAATCCTCCGTCTCAAACCTCTTGAGTATTTCACCTGCATATCTTTTTTGGTGCATCATTAAGTCTCTACTACTCTTGTATAACTCGATACCAAGGAAATATGAAATAATGCCCAAGTCAGACATTTCAAACTCCTTGCTTAATTCATGTTTGAAATATTCAATATCCTTCTTGCAACTGCCGGTTATCGACCAATCATTTTACCTTGTGGGAATTTAACTAGTGGCAAAGTTTTGTTATCTTCTATAGATTTTAACTCCTCCACGATAGCGTACATCCATTTTGAGTCTTTAAATGCTTCATCTACATTGATTGGCTCCATATATTCATAGAAGGCATAATTTACTAATTCACCTTCATTATCTACCGCATCATCTGATGTGATCTCACTTCAAGAGTGGATTTTGAATTGCTTCTTGCATCCTTGCTGGAGTTATTCTTGCGTTGCTTTTCTTGAACACATTCTTGACACATTTCACTTGGAATATGGATTTCTAGTAATTCTAAAACCATGTTCTTTTTCTTCAGGTTTCTAATGTCAATGAAATTCAGATGAGCAAGTTCGTAATTCCATAGTCATTCATCCTTGTTAGCTGCAATTTCCAGACACCAATGTTCCAACACATCAAGTTCAATCCTGAAGGTCTTATTTTGACACATAAGAGCCTTCAAGATTATCTTGTCACTTGAGTCTAATAATCTCACCATCTTGTCTTTGATTACCACCTTGTAATTCTTCTCGATCAATTGTTCTATACTTAGTATATTACTTTTCATGCCAGGTATATACAAAACATTAGAAATCAACAATTGTTTACCATTTCCTCATGATTAGGACATCAACAATACCTTTTGCACTTAAGGTATTGTCATTAGCAAATTTCACCTTGTTCTTCATCAAGGCACCGATGTTAATGAACCAATCTCTCCTTTCAGTCATGTGTGATGAGAATTATGATTCAAGATACCACTAATCTTTGAAACTTTCTTCCTTTTTTGTTATGAACATCATAAATACTTCATCTTCTTCTTGTTTTGCAAGTCTTGCATCAATTTCTTGATCTTCCTTCTTGCCTCATCGACACTGACTTGCATAATGTCCACACTTGTGATAGTTATAAAATGGAATATGGCTTTTATCAGATTTTCTTCCATCACCTCTTCCTCTACCTGCAACAACACCTCTATGGTTGCTTTGGTTTGAGGATTGTTCTGATTTTATAAACTTCCTTCTTGTTAGTTTCCTTTACCAATCGAATTGTTGTAGCCTTTTCTACCTTTGTTTCCATTCTGTTTTCCTTTGCCTTTCTTATCTTTAGCATACTATGCATGCATAGCCATATCACTCAATGTCTTGCTTACAGATCTTTCAACCATTCTCTGTTCATGAGATTCAAGCGTCCCTTCAAGCTCTTCTTATGTCATCCTTGTCAAATATTTTGATTCTTCTATATTTACTACCACATGATAAAACTTTGGAAGTAATGACCTCAAGATATTTACAACTATCGACATTGATGTAAACACTTCTCCACACATCTTGATTTAATTCGCCAATCTCGTTACTCTGGTGAAGAAATCAATAACACTTTCGTTTTCTTCCATTCGAAGTAATTCATACATTCTCTTGTGAATTTGTAACCTCACATCTTTCACCTTCTCAGTACCTCTAAAAGATTTCTCTAGGATGTCTCATGCTTCTTTTGATGAGTGTACATCCCCAACCTTTTTAAAGTTGTCTGGATCAACATATTGATGAATTATAAAAAGGGATTTCTAATATTTATTCTTCAAATATCTATGTGCAACCTTTTGTTCATCTATGACATTCTCTTCAATTGGTGTTACTCCATTCTTCACAAGATCTAAAATGTCTTAATAGCAGAAGAGAACCTTCATCTGCTTAGACCAATTATCATAATTCTTGCCATTCAAAATGGGAAGATTTGCTGGGAAATACTTATTCGGATGAGAAGTCATTATTCTATGCATCTCAAGAATCGCAGCCAATACTCTAGATGTCAGATGTTGGAATTAAACCCCAACCTTGGAGGTAATTCGAATCATTCTTGATGAACAAGAATTAATCTTTTTGATTGATTGCGCCTCTTGTTCTTCATCCTTTACTTGAGTGAATTAACCACACATTTGTTGCAAGACGATTCTACTTTACACACAGATTTGAAGAGATGAAAGAAATATAAATGTGGGTTTTAGAGAATACATAATTTTAGAGGAAGAAGAAAAGTGTATTGCACTGTGCAACTGCACTGAATTGTATTACAAAAGTTGTTCAGGGTGATGAGTTATTTTCTATTTATAATGAGATTACTTGCACTCAAAGTAGTCTCAAAATAACTAATTCAACTGTTACACGAAAATACTAAGTTCAACTTTGTCGAATTGTAGTTAATTCGACTAAGTTGAAAATTCACATTCTTAGACTCTGTCGAAGTGAACTTCTTCGACAACTTTATACAAATTTTGACATTGTTGAATACAATCTTACTTAACATGAAAAATTATATATTTAACAATTATTATACTTTAAACGACAAATTAAAATAACATTTAAATTTTCATAATGTATGTCTTGTATTCTTTTAAATACACAATGCAACTATTAAATTATGGGTCATGCTAACCGGTGCCCTCAGGTAGGGTTGGCAATGAACCAAACCAACTCGAAGATAGTTCGGAATTCGACTCGACAATTAAATCGTTGAACTAGGTTCATGAACCAAATGAGTTGAGTATGAGCGAAAAATTAAGTTCGTTAGCTAAATGAGCTGAACTTGAACTATACATAGTTCGACTCGTTAGGTTCATGAGTCAACTCGATTACATATGAAAAGAATTATACTGTCTTTAAGATTAGGTTTAAATATTTACTTCAAATCTTAGACAAATTTAATCTTCAATTTAGTAGTTTTTGAATTAGACTCTCAAATGTATCTCTTGAAAGTTGTGTAGGTTTTGAATTAGTAGATTTCGAAGATAAAGTTAAATTTCAATATGATAACTTTTATTTTATTTTAATATTTTATTTAAAAATATATATATATTTATTTAAAATGTCAAATATGCTAATATATATATATATTTAAAAAAATAGTTTTTAAGTTCGTGAACCATGTGAGCTGAACCTAATGAGATGAACCTAACGAGTCGAACCGAACTGTTCGTGAACTTATAACGAGTCGAGTTTGAGCTTAAAAAAAAGTTCGTGTCGAACTCGAACTCGAACTCGAATTCAAACAATTCTTAATGAGTCGAGCCGAGCTGAGGTGAGTTCGACTCGACTCGACTCATTTCCAGCCCTACCCTCAGGGCACTAGTTAAGAATTTCAAATAAGGAAAATATGTTATATTTAGTTCACTCAATACACACAATATTCTTTAAAAAGTTTGATTATTTCTCTTTTCAGGGCATTGAATACACATATATTTAGAAAACAAATGTATTTTCAATCTCTTAAATAATGTCCAACTTACCATTTTAATCTCTTAACCAATGCCTTGAGGACACTCGTTAACATTTCTCTTAAATTATTAAAATGATAATAATTGATAACATTATGAAACTTATTTTTATAACCATTATTTCTATAGTAACAAAAATAAATTAAATAAATATTAATTAAATTTAATCGTGTTTAATTTTTGACGAATTCAAAATAATAATCTAAATCCAATAAAAACAATCATATATATTATCCAAATTAAACAATTACAGACATTTGATCCGATATATTTACATAAAAAAATCAATCGATTTCAATGAAACGGTTAAAATTTATTCATGCCACCTGGATTTGTTATTCAAGAAAGCAACCTGGATTTGTTATTCAAACTCAATGCATTATTTTATGCGGCACGTGCCTCTACATCCTGGCTGTTTCATTCATCCGAAATCAACTGATCCATGTATATATAATTATATATTGTTTGGCTGTTTCTAGGATAAACTTTTATAAGCGTCTTATTATTGAAATATATTCTTATAAATGAAATTTGCTCTAATTAATTAAAAAATATGAAGAAGAAAAAAATAGATAATTATTGAGAGTTATATTTTTTTATAGTAAAATTTTTTACTTTATAAAAATTAAAATTTTTGAATAATTTGTATACAAATTATTTATTATGGTCCTCTTACCTCAAGAATTTATTCTCTAAAATTCGCATTGAAGAATCAAACATATCTAATTCATATTAAAAAACATCTCTTTTTTTTATATGAACTGGAATTAAAAATTTGATAGCAGAGAGCGAGGAATCCTATTTATTCATTTTTAAAATATTTTTTACGACCATCAATAGACTATTATTATATGGATTAAGAAAAACAAAGATCCTTAGAGCAGACGACCACCGTAGAGCACCAACCACCTGATCCCACCCACGACCCAACCTTTCCCCACCTTTAACATCAAAGATTCTCAACACCGATAAACCATTCCCAGGTCATTTTTATTTATTTATTTTTTAAAGGAAGGAAAAACAAAAATGTCATCATGGCTGGCTCGTTCCCTTGCAAACTCTCTCCGACTCGACGATGACGGTAACAATGAAAACGACGTCGTAAGCGACCCTCCAACAACCTCCCCCAGAAACCACCCTCAACAAAATCAATCACAAGGTAATGCAATTGAATCACAATCACAGCATCATCACGATGATGATGATGATGATGATGATGATGAAACGCAAGGTCGTGGTGTTAAAGAAGACCTCGATGAAATCAAACAAACCCTAACTCGTCAATTTTGGGGAATGGCTTCGTTTCTCGCTCCTCCCCCAACAACTTCTCAATCCGATCACACTTTCCCTCACAAACGAGAAGAGGAAGAAGAAGAATATCAACGACAATTTGATGACGCTGCAATTTCGAATCAATCTTTGGATATGGAACAAGCTGCGCTCCGCGAGGATGATCCTGACCCGAATTCGAATACATTTGGATCCGATTCGGAAGGAGACCGGGAGCAGGAGTTTGATATACCATGCGCGGTTGGAATTACGGAGGAGGTATTGACCTTTGCCTTGAATATTGCTATGCATCCTGAGACGTGGCTGGATTTTCCTATTGATGAGGAAGATGATACCGATGGTAATCTTCTTCAATTCATAGCATTAGTCATTTCACATGATGATTGTTACATTTTTTTAGTTTGAAATTCGTTATTAATTATCTGTTGCTGAAGGTGAATTGTACCTTATTTTAAATAAATGTCTTTCGATAAATGGGCTATGTTGCTGGTTTTGGTTTTATTTTACTCTTTTTTTAATTATCTATGGTGGACTTTTTCATAGGATAGACTTATCTGCTCTTTGATTTGGTTAAACTATTTTGGTCATCTGTTACATTACATGCCTTGATTTGTGTAATGATATTGATGAATTTTGGTTGTATGTATTTATTGTTGTAGATTTTTACATGACCGAAGCCCAACAAGAGCATGCTTTGGTCATTGAAAGACTTGCTCCGAGATTAGCTGCACTCAGAATTGAACTGTGCCCTTGTCATATGAGTGAAAGTTACTTCTGGAAAGTCTATTTTGTACTTTTGCATTCAAGGCTTAATAAACAAGATTCAGAGGTTTTGTCTACACCCTGGGTAAGTTTTATGGCAGTATGCTTTGGCTTTCATGCTGCTCTTGTCATCTCTTGAAATTGCAACATGTTTCAAATCACCCCGCGAAGCTTTCGGGAAGAGGGGTAGTCTTGCGTTCAGAAAGAAAGGTTATCGAGATTATCAATAGCTCTTTTTAGTGGGGAGGAATAGTGCTGGAAGGGAGCGAGACCAAGCCGAGCCACTAGGAGAGTAAGCCCTTCCCACGTGTAAAGTTGAATAAAAGAATGCAGCCTCAACCAGCCAGAGAGATAAACCTGCGCCGCCGCCGGCGCAGAACGCACTAATCCGCGACTAGCAAGTTTTCCTAAACCAAACTTAATAAATTGAATTGTTACTTTTAAAAAATGCTTGCTGAAAATCAAATAAAAGAAAAAGGATCGAGACAGGAACCTTACTCTCTTAGCATAGGCTTGAAGCCCTTAGTTGCAAGGTCTTTGACTGTGCCCAAGAAAGGGATGTGGGACAGGCAGCTGGTTTCTCCGTGGACAATGCCACCTTAAATCGTTTTTTTAGTCTTCATCATTTACTCCCCTTTATTTTAGTAGGCGCCAGTCTTCTTCATCTGGCCGCATTGCATCAATATGGATCAAATAATCCATTGGGTGTACATTTAGAGATGGATCAAATTTCTTTTTACCCTTATTTTTATGTAAAGGATCTAGTAGGTTGGGTAGCTTTTGCTATCTTTTTTTCCATTTGGATTTTTTATGCTCCTAATGTTTTGGGGCATCCCGACAATTATATACCTGCTAATCCGATGCCCACCCCGCCTCATATTGTGCCGGAATGGTATTTCCTACCGATCCATGCCATTCTTCGTAGTATACCTGACAAATCGGGAGGTGTAGCCGCAATAGCACCTGTTTTTATATGTCTGTTGGCTTTACCTTTTTTTAAAAGTATGTATGTGCGTAGTTCAAGTTTTCGCCCTATTCACCAAGGAATATTTTGGTTGCTTTTGGCGGATCGCTTACTACTAGGTTGGATCGGATGTCAACCTGTGGAGGCACCATTTGTTACTATTGGACAAATTCCTCCTTTTGTGTTCTTCTTGTTCTTTGCCATAACGCCCATTCCGGGACGAGTTGGAAGAGAGGAATTCCTAATTCTTACACGGATGAGACTGATCAGTGAAAAGTTATGACTAGATGAAGTAATTTTGAACAGCTGTTTATATATTTGTACTTATAATTGCTGGTATACTTTAGACTGGAACTAGTGTTCCAGTATTTCTAGAAATAGGTGATTTTCAGTGCTGTCTTTTGGGGCTTTACTTGGGAAGAGTCGTCCATTGAAGTTTTCTCTGGTGCTATGGTGTAACAATCCGCTATTCACTATGTCCCGCGATAACCGATAAATCAAAATGTGCCGATATACTGCAAATTCCAGAGCTGATTTATCATATCAGCTACCCCAAATTCAAATACATACTAGCTGTATAGTGGCACTATACCAATTTTCTAATAACACTGGTGTAAACTATTAATGATTATAAACCAGGCAGGCAGTTTAATATGCAGTGCGAAAGTTACCTTGCTGTTGCATCTATTCCTTTGGTCTGTGCTGCTTGGCCCTCTTTGTATACTGTGGCTTAATCATTTGAACCCAACATGCTGATATGTTTAATATAATCTTAAGTCCTTCGGAGAGGTTCATGTTTATTGTGCTGTCATTTCTAGATTCTAAATGTTCAGATGTTTCAGTATTTTTCCTGATTATTTGGGGAACTCACTGGCCCTCTTTGTATACTGTGGCTTAATCATTCGAACCGAACATGCGGATGTGTTTAATATAATCCTAAGTCCTTCGGAGAGGTTCATGTTTATTGTGCTGTCATTTCTAGATGCTAAATGTTTAGATGTTTCAGTATTTTTCCTAATTATTTGGGGAACTCACTGTGTGTCTGTTTATGTGCCTTACAAGATAAGCCATTTTAGTCTCTGAATATTTAAATTACTACTTTTGTTGGGTGATCTGTGAAGTATCTTAACAGATCTTGGATTTTGGGTGGAATGGGATGGAAAAAAATATTTTCATTCATTAAAATTTTCAAATGATGGAACAGTAACTTTATTTCATTCCATTCTATTACACTGCAATCTTCTCTATTTTCCTTTAGATATATAAATATAACCTCACAGATTATAAGTCGTGAGAAAAAAAAAAGTGCTTGTGTATGCATTAGATGTCTACAAGCTTCATTCTCCCCGACTTCTTATATCTATGCATTTTGATTGGTTAGCGAACAATTGAATTGGTAGCCGAAGTTGTTAGTTCTTTTGGATTGGAAATTGCAATGTTTACTTTACAGCTATTTTTATTGAGGAAGTTTTGTAATTAGGTTGCGTTAGATCTTTTAATGTTTTTACCATGGAGAATATTTGCTTTATAATTTTGGGAGGAATGGGATGGAAAGTCTTTTCCTTCATTAAAATTCTGAAACAAGTGAACAGAAATTTCATTTCATTCCATTTTATTACATTACAGTCCTCTCTATTCTCCAATCTTTTAGATATCTGTATATTACCTCACAGATTATAAGTCTTGAGAAGAAAAGTGTGCTTGTTTATGCATTAGGTGTCTACTAGTTACATTCTCCCTGACTTTTTTAGCTGTGCATTGTGATTGGTTGGCTAATAATTGAATTTGTAGTGGAAGTTGTATCTTCTTTTGGGTTGCAAATTACAATGTTTACAGCTATTTTTTGAAGAGAAAGGTTTTGTAATTGGGATGCGATAGATCTAATATTGTTTTACCACGAAGAATATTTGCTTTGTAACTTTGGGTGAAATAGGATGGAATTAGTGTTTTCCTTCATTAAAACTCTCATACAATGAAACAGGAACTTTATTTCATTCCATTCTATTAAATACCAGTCTTCTCTACTTTCCATTAGATATCTAAAGATAGCCTCACATTATAAGTCCCGAGAAGAAAAGTATATTGTTTAATACTTGTTATATTCCCCCGACTTCTTATAGCTATGTATAATGTTTCTATTTTGAGTTTATCTCAATCTTACAAAATCAGCTAGCTTGTAAGAAGAGGGGTGCCACTTTTTATAAACTCTAGTCTGGCCTTATCTCTATGTAGGACTTGGTTTTTCCAATACACTCCCTCACACCCGACACTAAAGGCTTAGTGCATGGATATAAATGGTGGGTCTCCCTATCAATAGACTCTGATACAATATTAAAGTTTTTATATTGGGTCTAACTTAACCTTACAAAACTGACTTGTATGGTGTAGAGTGCTGCTCTTTATAAACTCTAGTAAGGTTTTACCTCTATGTGGAACTTGGTTTTTCCTACACTGTACATTTTGATTTGTTGGCTAATAATTGAATTGCTAGTGGAAGTTGTTTATTCTTTTGGATTGCAAATTGCAGTGTTTAACTATTATCTCTATTTATAAAGAGGAAGGTTTGTAATTGCGATGCATTAAATCTATTATTATTTTACTATGGAGAATATTTGCTTTATTTGAAAGAGGTTAGGTTTGTTAAAGTGGTCCTTTTTCTTAAGTGTTGGTTTGGTCATCATATGGAGAATATTTGTTGAAGTGTTTCTTTTATTAGATTGGTTCGTTCATCACAAGCAGTATTTGTCTCTCATGCTCATGTCTTAAGTTTACATGCTCTAATCTACATTCAGCTAATATTTTACATCTACTTTAATGGTGGATCAACTTTTTTGATATCTTAGTTTCAACGGTTGCAGGTCATGGAAGCCAGAGCGACATGGATGCAGGAATTGCACAAACAGACAAAGCCTGAATTTGAAATCTTCGGAAGAAGTGATCTCTACTCAAGAGAAAATGCTCAGCATCATGATTCTACTCCCAGCTTATCAGATGACACCTATTCTGATGACATGCCTCACCAGACATACGGATATAGAACAGACTCTTTGTCTGTGAGGGCAGATAATGAATCTGAGAAGCACACAGTCGAAAGTTCTGGATCACATTTCTCTGTTAAGTCAGTTTTTGAAGAAAATCCAATTATTAAAAATGAAAACAAGGATCTGAAAAGTGGTCGACGGTCTCAAATTATCATTCAAGACTATGATGATGACGACGATGATGATTGGCCAGAGGATGATTCTGACTTAGGGGGGTATGGTAGAACAACACTCCCTATTGTCAATGAAGAAGACATATCTTTCAGTGATCTAGAGGATGATGATTTTGGCATTAAACATGTTAGTGCCAATCCAGATTCAAAGGTTGTATAAACTTCAATCAAGATGACACAACTGTGGTGATTTTAGGGGCACTAGAACCTCACTCAGAACATGGAATCAAAGATGATTGCCAGATGTTCAGGAAAACATGGATCTTGGTGTGTGAACTCTAGCTTTTTATTGTTCATAATGGTGAGGGAAGTCGCAAAATTGCTGTGATGCTATTTGAGGCTGTTAAACAAACATGTTAATCATTTTTTCCCATCATTGTTTTGCCACAATGCTAGGGGGATTCGAAGGTGCATGTATTTGAAAACAACTCAAATGAAACGGATAAGGGGGAGCCAAGAAAGGGGATCTGTTGTCGCTGGTTGGAATAAGAGCATCTATCTCAGAGACAACTCTGTTTGAAGAAACATTATATAGGGGCAAGAATGTATATAAAATGCCTTGTTTGTCGTCAAATATAGATTTTGAATTTTCTAGTTGATTTATAGTGGATGTAGTAGGGTTTGGAGTTATGTCCGGTGTTGTTCTCCTGAAACCAAAATTGCCTTGGTGTGTCAACTGTGTTTGAAAACCATAGTGATTACTTCAATAACTTGATTGATGATCAACTGGAATGTGTTTTTCATCTAAGGATATAATACAGCTCTGTTTAGTAACTTTCTTTTAGCTTTTAATTTGTAGTTTTTTTTATTAGTTTTTAACTTTTTTTTTTAAAGTTATTTGAAGTAGTTTTTGAGCTTATAGTTTTTAACTTGTAACTTTTTCTTCCATTTATATCTTTATTATTTTATCAAAAACTCATTTTTACTTTTTATATTATTATAATTTAATTAGTTGTGAGAATAAAAAAAGTTAGTCATTATTTTTATCAACAAATTCACGATGCAATCCATCTTCTATTTTATTATTAATGAAATATTTTGTTTTATTACATTGTATTATTTTTATTACTTTTAATTATTTATTATTTGAGTTTTTATTATTAATATATTATTTTTATAAATATGATAAACATATTTGTTTGTTAGTAGACATTTTGAGAGAAAAAAAGAGAATGAAATATGCATTTATAAATATCAAATTACAATATTATTATTTTATAGATATTTAAATTTTATTGCAAAATTTATATATAAGTGTTTAATATATTTATAGATTATTTTTATTTTATATTTTTATTTAAAATATTTTGCATTTGATTTTTAATATGTTTATTTTTATTGAATAAAAATTAATTTAATAAATAGGATCACTAATTTTTTAATTAAAAATGTTATTTTGTATTTATCAGTTAGTGTAACAAATAATTTATCAAACACTTAAATTAACTTATTTATTAGTAGAACAAATAATTTACCAAACATTTAAATTAATTTATCAGATAAATCATCGGCTATAAACTATTTGTTATCAGTCATAAATTATTAGCTACTAATTATCAATTAATTTATCGACTAGTTTTACCAAAATAGAATCTATCTCTAAATTCTTAGCTCAAGTCTTTAGGTTAAGATCAGGAGGAACCAAAGTTTTTTTTAAAGTTACAAATAATATCATTGAAATAAATTGTACTTTTTATTATTATTATTATTTTAAAATATCATTGTATTATTATACTGGAAATGAAGATCAAATCATCCACATTTTTAATCACTCACTGAGCCATTGAACTAACACTATATCCTTTTAAATGAATTATACAGCGCTATTTTGGTATAGCAAACAATCACATAAAAGTTGTAACTTAATTAGCTTGGCATTCAAACATACTCTCTTCCCTCTGGTCTAAATTATAAACAATTTTTATTTTTTAAAATTGAATAATTAATATATATAATTCGTTTATATATAAATTAAATATATTAATTATTCAATATATAAAAAAAGTAAAATTTATATATAATATAAAATGGAGAAAATTTAAATTACGCTCCTATTTAAGGCAAAAGGGAAAAAGAGAAAAAATAGATGAATATTGAATTTTTATAGATATGATCTGTTATAGAATATAAAAGATTGGCTATTATTAGTGGTCATTATTATATGCAAATAGTTAATATATAATCTAAATATATCAAGTGTCAAATGTATAAAAAAAAGTAAATTTATTTATAATAGTGATCATAGAGTGTATATTTTTAATATTGATAGAGATTTTGAATATTAACTAAATTCTTTAAACTGATAATCAATACACATTTTTAGATTCTTCAAAGTAGGATGGTTTCCTTTTTTTTAAAATTTATAAATATCAACTTGTTTCAATTAATATATAATTATAAATAAATAATGTTACCAAATATTGAAATAGACATTGAGTTAGTGAACTAACTCATAAATATTTTTATTATTATCATAATATATATATTAAAAGAATACTAGAAGTATTTTTCGTCAATTGGCCATTACAAATCGACTAAGTCGATAAAAAAGTACAATCCAACAATAAATGCGAGCAGTTTAAAAAAATATGAGGACTTTTAAACCATTCTTAGTAATTAGAGTTGATTCTAATGCTAAAACTAATAGTTAACTACCACTTAGAAGTATAAATAATTTTTTGGACTATATCTTCGTGATATCTAAAATTGTCATTAAATAATATTTGGTTTCTTTGCCACCAAATACACAAACTAGTGCAAAACTGGATCAAACAAGCAATTTTCTTAGACGTAGTTCCAACTATTTTCAAGAATCATTTCATCATATGCTCACAACAATTATCTGATTCACACCACGACAACCCAACCCAATCAAAAATCGCCTTTCATACCTGTTGAAAAGTATATGAGGGGTGTTTTATCGTATCCAGAGGGATTGTACGTAAGATATTGATGCTAGTCGTTCAATAATTTAACGTTCTAAGTAAAGAGTTTTCAAAAGATTTCTTGTTTTGTAACATAAGTTTGTTGCAAAGAATAAATTAGAACAAAGTTGTTTTGTTTTAAGAAAAGTATGTCAAGATTAGATTTTGTTAATCCTTTTCATATGTATCCGATTAATTAAGCATGTGAACTTAGTTTTGATCAATACAATTGTGTATCCTCGTGAATCCGTTTATTTCTAAAGTGGCTCCGTGAATATTATTGTTTTAACCGCTAGATGATTTCTCGAAATAACAATCGAAATAATAAACATAAAGATCGATACAAAGCAAATATTAACTTTCAAATCTATGTCTAAAGTTTGTTGGTTAATAGATGAAGAAATTAGGTCAAGACATGGAAAATATATGTCTAGAGTGATTCAAACCATAAATATATCATTAAAAGCAAATATCGTCATCATCTATTAATCATAAACCTTCTTCACATACAAAAGATAAAAAAGAATACATAATAGCAAGATTAATTATATCTAATCTTGTCACAAAAGTGACTTAACTACCCATAATCATGGTAGTTTGCTTCACAAGTTTCGGGAGGAGATGAATGAGCATCCACGTCGAAGAACCGAGCTTGGATGCGAATCCAGCTTTTATGTGTAAAATCTCATTCTTTGGTGAAGAAATCTCAGAAAATAAGGTTTTGGTGTGTAAAAGTAAGTTATGATCTCCAAAAATGGTCAAAAGTACTTATTAAATACATACAGGATCTATCATGTTTGCACTGCGAACAGATTATTCGCCTAGTGAACATCAAATTAGGCACTTGATGTGCCTCTACATAGTTAAACAGCCTCTGAGATAACTCAGAAGTTCGTTGTGCGAATGATTATTCGCCTAGCGAACTACTTCGCCTACAAGTTCGCACAACAAACTTATGCCCCTTTAGCTACTGCCTCAAGTCTGAGATGTTTTGCTAGCTCTTCGCTGACGCGTTGCCACAACGAACCTTTGCTGGCTTGTTCTCACAATGAACTTACAGGCCTTTTTCTACTACCTCAAATATGGGAGAATTCGTTGGTTCTTCGTCAGCTGTTCGCAAGGCAAATGTTCGCTAGCAAGTTCTCCCAACGAACTTACTGATATTCTTCTTTTCCTTTGGCAATCTTGTTCACTTTTCTTGTGTCTCACACTTTGATGATTTAATGCCTATTTTATGCACAATAACACACAAATCAAAGGTACCAAAGGTATTTTCAAACAATTGAAGAATGACAAACTTTCAAGTAGAAATTCCAACAAAACATAAAAGAGTTAAAAAATGTCCATTATAAATGATTAATTTAAGGCAAGATTGATATCTAACAAACTATCCACAACTAACTTTTAGCTTGTCCTCAAACAAAGTATGCCTCTCATTGAAAACAAAAGGATTTTCTCAAGCATTTAATTCAACCAAGAATAAATTTATGGCTCAAATAAACAACAAATGTACACAAGCATGATTACAACTTCCTAGAATCGAACAATGCAAAAGAATTTAGTTCTTAAACAAATATCAAACAATGCTTCAAGTAACAACTAAATTATCATGCTCAAATCACTCTAACATTCCTCTTCAAAAAATAATTGAAGGAAATACGCGCTTACAAACGTGGGGTAATTTCGCTCATCTGACGAATGATGCAAATACAAACCAATTCATACAATATCTAAACGATCAATAAAGAAATTATGGAAGCAAGAAGATCACTAAGGGATTTTAAGGTTATAGCTTGGTCGGGTTCACAATAAAGGGACATTTCTAAAGGCCATTGAATCGAAATTGCCGATGCAAAAGAAACATTCACTAAACAAGATATTTACACATCTCAACTTCATTCACCATTTTCTTTCCTCTATAACAAACTTTCTCAAACTTCCTTATGCATAATTATTTTGTTCTCTATTTTTCTCTTTCAAGCAAGCATTCTTTTTCTTTTGTTTTTCTCATTCATATTCATTTTTTTTTCTTTTCATGCTTGCTTGAAATTTTTAAATTTTTTTAGCAACCTACCATTCTTCTTTTTCATTCTCCCCAACTTATATTCAACCAAACCTTAAGTGAATTCTCCTTGATTTTCATGGCAAGGAAATCAATTAAAACAACGTCCAAAGGTTCAAGAAGAAATTTTTAGAATCTCACAAAATTCAATGATGAACTATACTTTCAAATTAT